ACACACACACACACACACACACACACACACACACACACACACACACAGAGCAAGCACCTTCTGGCCCTGTATTCCTCACCTCTCTGTGGAAAGTGGGAAGCCATATTTCATTATTGATTCTCCAGAACCAAAGTTGATCATTACCCTTCCATTTTCATTGACATTATTACAGTCATCTCATATATTGTTATTCTGGTTCTGTTTAATTCACTTAACTTAAATTCATACAAGTCTTCCCATGTTTCTCTGAACTCTTCACATTCATCATTGCTTACTGAATTCACTTTTGGTTCAACCACCCACTTTTACTCCATTTCTTTGGTGGCTGGGACTGGACCTGATGAGGAAATCCCTTCCAGCAATGACGATTAGGTACATTTTCAGCAGGTTAGTCTTAGAGAGGTACTTGGGGACGTTAAGAGATTAAGGGGCTTTCCCAGAGTCACACAGCCGGTGTGTGTCAAAGATGCGACTTTTCCTGAGCAGGACTTCCTGACTCCAAGACCAGCCATCCAGCCTACCCCAGGCTGCTTCTTTGTCCCAAAGGGAACTGCTTTGAATATCTTAGCATCTGTGGGACCCAGGTATTTGTTAGCTCTTGTTTGTTTTTAGGGCCTTACACAAAGAACTGTCTTGGTTGGATTTAGGTGGGGAGAAACCAGGCAAAACATAACAAAAGGAAATTCCCCAAGATAAATGGGACTTTGTCACCCAGGAAGCACATGCCAAATTCTTCCTCCCCCCACCCCTCCCCCCCCTTCCCAGAACAGGATGAGTCTGCCTCCCATCTTTTGTGACCAATACCTCCCTGCATAGTTTAAGTCAGTACCTGATTCTCTTTTGTCTGTCATTTTTCCCCCCAGCTGGGCCAGTAAGCGTGAGGAATGGAAGTTTCAGAAGACAAGGCAGACCTGGCTCCTGCTTCACATGTTTGACAGCAATAAGGTTTGTATCAAAACCGGGCTCCCAGGTTAGCTGCTGTAGACCTCTGAGAAGCCCTTTGTCATGGAGTTGGCAGCACTGTTTCCACGTGACTTTGGAAAATCCCGCTGCCCCCAGCAGTGCTGCTCGTTGGGCAGAGCAAATATGTGACTTTTTAAAACTCGGCACGGCATCTTCGAGATGATCTCATCCAGCCCCACCCCGTTTTATAGATAGTTTAGTATGTAGTTCAGTCCCGGAGAGAGGACTCACCCAGAGTTCACACACTAGTGTGTTCACCACACAGATTGGAACCCACCTGCCAGCTCCAGCTGCCGAGCTCCTCACTCTGTGTAATTGTGCTTCCCAGCATCTCGTGCTCCACAGTGCTGCACTCTCAGCAAACATTCAGTCTCCGAGGGAGGGGAAGCCCTTTTTAGAAGACATTTCTTATCTTCCCCTTTCCGATTGGAATCTTGGGACACCAGAGATGTTTCAGAGAGCCCATTTCCTCACCTACTAGATACCCCTTGTGAGGATCAGGGCGCTTTGCAGAACTTAAAGTATAATAGAAATGTGAGTTGGGGTCATCTAGTCCTGTATCCTCATCTTATAGACAAGAAATTTGAGGAGGTAAAATGATTTGTTAAAGTCACACAGACTATTAAGGGTAGCCAGGAACTATCATCTCTTTATATCACTCTCCTTTTCTTAAAATTGTTTGGATATTGATACTTGATAATAAATCCCAGGTTGCCTTTTATATGTCAGGACTGATCTTGAATGGAATGGCACAGTAGATGGACCACTGGGCCTAGAGTCAGGAAGATCTGAGTTCAGATCCAACCTCAGACACTTACTAGGTGTGTAACCCTGGGCATGTCACTCAACCTCTGTCTGTCTCAGTTTCCTCAGCTGTAAAATGAGGATAATAATAGTACCTTTCTCCCAGGGTTGTTGAGAGAATCCAATGAGATAATATTTATAAAGCGCTTAGCACAGTGCCTGGCACATGGTAGATACTTAATGTTTCCTTCCTTCCTTCCTTCTTTCCTTCCTTTTCCCCAAATCCAATTCTGTTTCCATTCTCTCACACCTGCACCCTGTGAATTCTGCCTGGCTCCATGTCTCCTTCAGTGACACCTGGCCCATATCGGCTCAGCTCTTCATCAGTGCTTAGATTAGCACTTACAGCCAAATACAGCAGAAACTGAGGCAACTGAGACAGCCTCGCAAAGGATCCAAAATCTCTGCCTTTGCCGGTAGCATTGACATTGTCAGCTTCCAAGTTTAACCAGATGTTTTTTCCCAGTGATAACCGTGAAAGCTGGGCTTACAACAGGAATGGAGTTCCAACGTTTCCAAATGTGTATAGGATTTAAGGATTTAATTTTGAGCCAACTAGGTCTTCTAGCTTTTGTGACTAAGAGGTACTGTTTTCGTGGGTTCGTTTTCTTCCATGTTGTTGTTGAACAACTTTCTTGCCCAGTCAATGCCTATGGTTTGGGCGAGTAACATAAAAGAGATTCGAGTCCATTTACAAATATCAGGTATGACCTGAGTACTTGGAAACATTTTTTTAAATGTCAGCTTGTGGTAATGGAAATGCACAGATTGTGCTAATAACACAGAAATACCCTTTGAATGTTCCAAGACAGACAACAACATGATTACATGAAATTACTTAGTTTTCTCCCATCTTTTTAAACCTAACCCATGTGTTTTCTACTGGAGAATTAAGCTGTGTATATTTTCTTTCACATTTACTTTCCTTCATTTCCTTCTCCTGGTCTTTTTTTTTTTTAAACACATTTCCTACTTCATAGTATGACAGCATATATGAATATTTTGCAAGTTGCTCTAGGCCTTCCTCCAGAGAGAGCATTTGTACTGAGTGGTCACCCTGACCTCCAGTCTGTGCTTCAAACATACTTCATAGATCAAGTTACACAATTAGTAGTTGGGCCCTCTGATGTTATCTTCAGCAGGTGTGTATATTGACCTGAAAAATTCATATGGAATCTGGAAGGATGACATCAGACCCCCAGGAAAACAACCCCAGAATGCTGCTGTCTCATAATGGCTAAGCATGGTTTACAACTCTGATCCTAGGTTCCTATTGCCAGGCTGTACTCATGGGGTAGACATAAAGTTGGGGTTAAAAAATTTAAATGCCAAAGGTGGAGGAAAACCAATGAAGAAAAAACCAAAGCCCCAAATTGTTAGGCATTTGTTTCTCTTTGGAATAAACATCCTATGACTCTCACTATGGAGAATGTGGTAGATCAGAGATGTGATGTTTCAGACCCCACTGAACATAGCTTACTAAGCTTCTTTATTTGGGCCTACCTTGGGAACCAAGGTACCAGACGGTGACTGGTGTTTCCTCTCTGCAAAGATTTCTTTACTCTGAACTTGAGAGCCACTTGTCTTTTAAGCTGCTATTAAATGTGATCTTTGCCCTTTTATTTTTGAAATCTTTCCTGACCCAAGGATCTTTGGTAATTAGGCAGTGACTGAGAGCATATTTTTCTTTGGGGGGACAGACAGAAGGAGCAAGTAGGCCTCTCTGTCCAGCTTTGCCCATGGATTGCTTTCATTCCCATAGTGAACATTCAACTGCTTCCAAAACAAATAGAGCTTTTGATGTTGTTTGACTCTGGATTGAAAAGATACAGGATTGCCACTTTTTTCCCCCATGAAAGGCTTTCCTCTCTGCAAAACTCCTTGCAAGAAAATGATCTTGAAATTGAGGACCTTGCATCGCTAGGCTCCAAACACATTTTGTCTTTACCAGCCCTGCTACCCTTTTATGAAAGCTAAACCCACCCCAAAAAAGTAGTTTTCAGATATATCCCTGTGATGTGGCAGCAGGCTCATGGGCTCAGGCAGTGTTCATGCAAGTGACCCTTGAACATCATTGTAACTAGAAGTGGAAGGTCAGGTCCCAGGAATCCCCAGACCTAAGCCGTAATCGTCACCCTGGACTTTGTTCCAACTCCAGCAAGCACCCCTTCACTCTGCCTTGTTCTTCACCCCTGTCCTTGGCCCTGGATCCTCAAAATCGATCTGTGTGACTAGGAAGACTGCATTCAAAAGGACTTTTACCAGTCTGGAAGAAAAAGATGAAAGCCACCAGACCCACAAATACAGCCCAAACCACCGCCGCCTTCCCTGGCTCCATGCACCATGATCACTGCCACCTCCAGACCTTTCTCCAGGCCCCTGTGCCTGAAATGTCTCTTTCCCCCCACCTGATGGCACACATTTGTTGGTGGTCAATAATGTGCCCAGAGCCCTGGACACTTCTTGAAATTCTGACTGTTTGTTAAGACTCAAGTCAGGATCTGCCTCTGAAGCCTTCCTTGACTGCTCCAATCCACCCAGCTCTTGTGCTGCTCTGAATTCCTTGCACACTAATTATAGTCTAGCACCTAAGTAAGCTCTCTTATTATTCAGTGAGTTCCTCAAGGGTAGAGATCAGGACTCCTCCTCGACTTCTTACTCCCACTGCTTCTAACACAGCGAGGGACAATCTTAGTAGGTGCTCAGTAAGTAGGCACAGACAGGCGAGGATAGAAGCCTGAACCTTCCAGCCACCATCCCGCTAGGAGATCCTGTGGCTTCTCAATTAATTGAAACAGTCATCATTTTTAAGCATCAAGCAGCTTACATTTAATGCAGATCCTGGTGGTCCCAGTGCAGTAGCTTGGGATGAACCCAAGAATCTCAGGCAGGATCATCCTGACTGTAAAGCCAGGTCTCAACTTCAAATCAGAAAGTTCACCCAGCTCCCATTCGCTGAGGAAATAGAGCCAGTGTGTTGGTGGTGGTTCTCTCTTAGTGTGTCCGAGGCAAGGACATAGGAACAAAGAAAACACCACCTGCTTTGCTTTGAGTGAGTGAGTGTGTGTGTGTGTGTGTGTGTGTGTTTTCAAAAGTTTCTCATCTGAATGGTGGAATATTCAGTATGGTTTCACAGGATGAGGTAGGATTCCAAAACCAAAGTCAGATAACTAGGAGGTGGGATGGAATTACGGGTGTTTGTGCCAAGGCTGCAAAAACATACAGGTTCTGCTGAGTCTAACATTCCATCCAGGACGGGTGGGGTGTGTGTATGTGTTCTTTTTTGCCACACTGACCCTCTCAGGTTTCAGTGTTATAAAGTGTTGCTATAGTGCCCAGGGTTAGGGGTGTGGTAGAGACCAGAGGGACATTTTTTAAAGTTTTCTCCCTTATTCTTAGTCTCCTGTGTGCCTCCACAAGGCAGACATGATCCCTGCAGAGACACTAAAATAAAGAGCTAGCAAATAAAATTCATATATCCATAAATGTCAACCTGGTATCCCAAGGCTGACAGGTTTGCATTTTCTGCTCAGTAATCTCTTTCATTCTAGCTGTTCAACTATTTTCTTCTCTTGTCCCTCCCTGCTGACTTTTACCACCATCCTTTTTTAAAATTTCCCATCTCTGGTTCTGTATTATATTCTTGGCATCTTAGTCTCTTACTTCTGTAGTGGTCTTTTTGCCCAAACTGTGACTTCTCCCTGGTCCTGTTGTCACCACCACCCAAAGACTGCCTGAGAATCCCAACCTTTGCCTGTGTTTACTGGTCTGTCCTCACCATTCCCTGGATAACAGGGTCCTATCCCACTGTTCATGATGCCTCCCAATACCTTGATTCTAAGCTTGGACTTCCATCACTTCTATCACTGATTGACTTAGTAGAGAATCAGTATGAGGTCATTTCTGAAAAATCACTTAATGCAGCTTCTAGCCATATTGTCTTCTGCTCAGCCCCAAGTCAGCTGCCATACATGGTGTAGAACCTGAAAGTCTCTTACCATATGAAGAAAAAACATGAAGAATAAATCAGAGATGCTAGGGCAATTTCCACTGACAGGCAGAAGACAGAGATCCATTCTTAGAATAGCTAATAATGGTTAGCTTTCATATAGTACTTTAAAGATTTGATTCTCACAAAAACTATGAGGTAGGTGCTTTTATTTATCCCCATTTTACAAAGGAAGAAGCTGAGGCTAGGAGAGGTTGAGTAGCTTGCCCAGAGTCACACAGCTACTAAATGTCTGAGACAGAATTTGAACCCAAGTCTTCCTGGCTCCTAGTTCAGTATGCTATCCACTCCCATCACTGCCCTGTTGTGTACCTCATTGAACAGTTTATATATGATTATCCCACATCACAAAACCAGGGTTTTCAGAACCATCCAGTTTGATTTCCAGCTCTGGTGTTGAGTGACTAAGCCAGCAAAGGCCCCTCCTGAGCACAAAACTAACCCCTTCTTTTAAACCCCTTCTCTCACCCATTTGTGAAAAGAGCAAGAGGATGGAAGACGAAATAAAGGAAAACAGAAGGCGTGGGGGCCATTAAGGCATTGTTCATTTCAGGCATGTTATACTCAAGTATATGTAACGGAGCCGGCCTCGATGTAATCTGGGAATGGTTTCCATATGGCTTAGAATTTAAGTTGTTTTGCAGACTGGCTGTGAGCACTGCACATGACCGACAGCTCTGTCCAGAATGGCCACTCGGCCCTCAGCCACGACTGGTATTATCACGTTCTGCCACACAGAGTTAAATTTGATGAGGTGTTGCTTGGCTTGCAAGGCTGCCTTCAAGCCACTGTTTTCTGACTTGGGGAGCTTGAGGTCTGGAATTGTCACTCGCCAAGCATGTGAGTGCACTCAGCTGCAGCAGCTGATTTCCCCGAGCTTAGCATGTTTTCCCAGAACAAGTGAACCTTCAAGCCCCTCTTGCAACTTGTAGTGAACATGATGTTCTCTGCTAGTGATTTGCTTCTCTTCCTCTGAATGTCCACGTCCACTGAGGTCATCCTCTCCCTCTGCCTCTCTACCATCCCCATCTAAAATGGGAGATCATTTTTCTTTTTCTTTTTAATTTCCACTGAGTTTTTTTTTTCCTATTCTTTTCCATTTGTCTTCCTCCATCAAAGGTGCCAGATCAGCACTTCTCCATTCTGCTGGACTACCTGGAGGGACTAAAAGGAAGGGCCCGAGAGGTGACAGTGCAGAAAGCTGAAATGCTCATGAAGAAATTGGACAATGCAGAGCCCGAAGACTCAAGTTTAGTAGAGAAGAGTGAGAGAATCCGGCAAGTCCTACAGCTGCTTTCCTAAGAGGGGACGAGCCAGCATCTCCGTAGCTCCATCAGCAGAAAAGTTGTCTTCCCAAACCCCCGGAAAGGATGGCTCTCCCCTTCTCTCACGTGAATGTATGGGTGTGTGCATGTGTGTGTCTGTGTGAGTATGTGCACAAGCAACAGAGAGTATTTTTCTTACTTTTAGCATCTGACCTTCTCCCAGACAGGTTATCAGGAAAAGGTAAAGACGGCTTTGTTGTTCAAACCTATTATTTCTACTTCTAGATACAAGCTTTGTATCTGGTGATCTCTTCTTTAAGTGATTTGATCTTATTTGGGATACCAGAAGAATGGTCCTTTTGTGTTTTTAAAATGTTCTTGAATCAGGGAATAATCACTCTGAAATGATGTAAAGAGATCCAAATCCTTGGCTTTAGAAGGGCCTCCAAAGTCCTACAAAAGAGAGAGAGAGAGAGTGCTTTACAAAGGAATGGTTTTCAGAAATGGATACAGAACACAGTGTTTACCCTGCCAGCTGTAATCCATCACTGTCAGTATTGTATGCATATTGTTGGGGTCTACATGTCCCACAAGAAGAGGGTAATAAATTGTTTTTGGTAGTAACCTGTCTGAATTCAGCAAGGGATCTCAGAGCTATGGAGTGTCTTTGGTTTTATCTCCTCATTCTCCAGCTTTCCACAACATTTGTTGCTTAGTTACAGTGCAAACACTGGAGTGGAGTGGAAAAGGGGGGAGGGGGCACTACAAATCAGCCAAATCATGTACCTGGATGGGCAGAAATTGAGTGGGTTGGCCTTGTTTTTAATAAAAACAAAGCTTGGTCATTGTGCCGTTAACTCTCATTTTACTGCTTGTTCCATTTCATTTTTCCATTTGCCTGGTGTAATTGCCTTTGGATAGACTTAATTTGTACTCTGTACTGTGACATCTCTATGAATTGTGGTCATCTCCAAGGAGGAATGTCCCCAAATCCTTCTCGAAAGAAAAATAAAAACATTAATTACCACCAGGAGTTCCTGGGGTTGAAGATCTGACTTGATTGAATAACAGCCCTAATTGACCACTTGTTCCTCGCCAGTCCTGCCAACCTGATTCTTAAAGGATTTGGCAGTTACAATGCTTGGCTGGGCTTTGACAGCCTTCCCAGACATGAAATACTATGAGTTATTTTGTTTTGTTTTGTTTTGTTTCAAAGAAAGAAAGAAGAGGTGGGGGTGGGAGAGTGAAATATACTTAACTCTTCCAAAAGGAGCTTATATATCACACCCTCTTTAAATCATGGTGATCACGAGCCAAGCCTTCTGAGTGATACAAGATGTGTTGTTACAGCAAGGGTAACTATAATGGAATTTAATAGAATAGGAGGCCAGGATACAATGGCTGATGTCAGGCCAGGGAGAACATGGTAACCAAGTGTTTGTGTAGGAGAATCAAGCCAGCATGCCCTTGGGTAAATCTGCCCTGCTCTCTTCACTTTCTTCCCTCCCCCCTTCCCTTTGCTGGGATCTAGTTGAAAAACAAAAACATATTGGGTTTGGTAGTAAGGAACGACCTGAGATCTCCTCCTAGCCCTACCACTTGAGTAAAGTCCCTTCACCGCTTATTATCCTCATCTGGGCAATAAGAACATGGCTAGCATCTGACTCAGTGAATTGTTGGTGGCAATCATGTAAGACTTTAAAGTGCTTGGCAAGCCTTAAATGTCATCTGTGGTCATCACTGTTGTTATCCAGTTCTATACAAGGCCCTATACTAGGTCTTGAAGCAATACAAAGACCATAGTAGTCCATTACTGTTCACAAAGCACCTTCTCCAACACAACACTGTGAGGTACTAAACACCAGCATCGTTGTCCCCAGTTTGCTGGTGAAGAAACATGGTTGGTGCTCTCACAAAACTTAACTAAGTGGGGGAGACAAAATATGCAGATAGCTCAACACAATACACAATGAAGTATGATCAGGACATACATCAGAGGGGTATAACCAGGGTGCTATGAAACCAGAGAGGGGGAAGATGGGGCCACTTTCAGCTGAGGGGATCAGAAACTTCTTGTTTCAGTATAGGAGAAGACATTTGAATTGGACTTTGAAGGAAAGGTGGATTTCATGTGGTGATATGAAGGGAGGGTGTGCCACAAGTTAAGAACAGTTTGAGCAAAAAACTTGGGGCCTGGAAACTATGTTTGGGAAAAGGAGAATACAGTTACCCCCTCCACATTGTAACTTTCCCCATTGCAGTTTTGTTATATCACAGATCGGCATAAGAAATTTAATAGGAATTTTGGGGGAGTTTTGCAGAGACCGCAGATGGCTCACAAAGGCTGGCAGATGACACAGAAAAAATTTAGAAACTAAAAAATGCATAAAATATATGTATAGTATTATATAATATCAACCCAAATTTTATAGTAGTGTACTGTAAACACCCCATAAAAGAAAAAGGAAAAATTCAGACTTCTCTGGTGCAAAGGGAGGGCCAAAAAATTTTACACATTTCTGCATCACAGGAGTATCACATGCCTAACTCCCATGATGTGGAAGGGATAACTAGTCTGATTTGGTTAGAGTGTCATGTTCACAAAATATGTGAGAAAGGACTAAAAATGTAAGTTAGAGTGAAAAAGAGACTAGGAATGTCCACCGTACCATTTGTCTCAGAGATCCTACTGGTAGGCATATATCCCAGGAAGGCAAAGACAGAACGGAAGGTAATGCATAGACCAAAAGATTCATAGTAGCATGAGGCGTGGGGTAGCCGGGGCGGGAGGGTGGGGGTCAGCAAAGAAATTAAAAATAAAAAGTAATAACCCGTTGATTGGAGAATAGCTAGATAAATTGTAATACATGCATGGAATTGAATAGTACTGTGCCATAAGAAATAATGTATATGAAGAATTCAGAGTGACCTAGGAAGTCTCATATGAACTGTCAGCAAAACCAATGAAACAGTGTGCACAATAACAATGCTATGTCAAAACTGAGCCCTCTGTAATTATAATGATCAAGCCTGGCACCTGAGAAAAGAGATGAGAAAATATTTCTTCATTTCTTTCATTGGAGAGGTAAAGTGCTGTGGGTGTGGGGTGCTATATATACTATCAGCTGTGGCTTTTTGCTGAGATGGCTTTTTTTTTTCTTTTAAAATGTTTGTTACCAGGAAAGGTTCCCTGGGTATAGCAAGGAGGGGCATATCCAGAAGTGGATGTGATTAAAAATAATAATAATAAAAGGTATCAATTTTAAGAAAAAAATTAAAGAAATGTAGGTTGGGACCAGGTTATGTCATCTCTGAACTACCTCCCTCCCTCCTTCCTTTTGGCCTTTAATAGTCATTTCTGCCTTTATTTTTATGCAAATGCTACATGTGTTCTTAATAGAAATCTGGTCATACGCTCCCCATCCCTTTCCCATGCAGAATTTTTTTATGAGGACTGATGTAATGATGAGAGATTCTCAAACTGAGGGTCTCTTTATGACTTCATGTTCAACGTCTTCTAATGGGGCTGAGGTGTATGTTCTTAATGGATGGCAAAGAGTCCTTAGGCCCTACACACACACACACACACACACACACACACACACAGTTATAAACTTAGGCACAATATCAAGGAGTGAGACTTCCTAAGAGCCAAGATCAGGGAAGGCTCAGGAATCCATATGGCAGCTCCAGATCTGCACATTCCCGCCTCAGATGTTGGCGCATAATGCAGCCTTCCATCAGCACAGAAATGCCGTCTGCTGACAGTATCAGAGGATGCTTGCTTCCCACCTGCTTGTCTTTGTCACCCAGGCAGGGAGCATATGGTCTGTGAGAGTGAATTCTTAAGGAAGCCTGGGTTGCCTTGTGGGCATCTGTTTTCAGCAGACATTAAATCCAGCCTGGAGACAGCCTTTTTCTTAATTCTTAATGGGAAAGCTTGCAGGGGGTTTAAATGTGTTCTCTGTGTGTGTGTGTGTGTGTGTGTGTGTGTGTGTGTGAGAGAGAGAGAGAGAGATTTCTAAGGTTCTGTATAGTTTCAATGAGGAGACTTTCCATGGTTTCATCATACTTCCAGTAAGTTGGAGTCATTATAGTTTCTCCAGGTTAACATTATCATTACATATTTGTCATGCCTCTTTCTTCTCAAGAGCTCAAATTGTTGCCAATACAACCAGCTACTAATGATTTCTCTCCACCGGAGGAGAGCGATGGTACAAATAATCCAAAATGTATATAATCCAAAAATCAGTTATGGACTTTGGTTTTAGAATTCATTATGGGATTTTTAAAAAAAATTAAGTTTTTCTCAAGCTAATGCTAACATGTTTGTAAAGCCTAACCATACTCCAAATGAAACTGGGAGGACCTCCTGCTGTGCTAAGTGATAGGGACATGCCAATCTAGGATTAAAGACTTATCAGATCACGTGACCAACAAGATGGAGGGCTTGACATTTTCACTGATCCTCATGACCACTCAACAGAAATTATGCACCAAAGATAAAGCAACTTCAACTATGTCTATGATCTAGAACCCAAAGAAGGTTAAAAAAAAAATCACGAACTGATACCTACCCTGATCTCACACTGTATCCCCGCTCTCACCTCCTGCCATGCTACCAGTAGCAAAGCTGCACTAGCTGACCTAAGGACCTGACCCACAGGCTTGCAACAAACTCAACCCCACATCCCATTCTCCTCTCCCTCTTTCCAGTACCTTGGAGATCCAGGCTCTAAGCTACAGAGGTTTGCTGGGGCTTTGGTGGCCAGTGCTACAGCAGCATTCTGTGTTGCAGAAGATTTCAGCAAGAGAGTAGGGGAACAGAGAGAAAGGGACAAGACGCATGTCTGGGCTTTAAAAAAAAGCTCAACCCCATCCTCCTCCTAGAGCCTCTGATAGTCAGATTCCAAATGACAGAGATCATCCCTGCTGGGGTGATGCCAGTGTGTCTGCACTCTGAACTGCTGGGCCAGAGAACTGAGAAATAGAGGAAATAGAACAGGTCACTATGCAGGGAACAGGTGAGCACTCCACTAAGCCTGAGGGAAAGAGCCCAGCATCCAGCTGGGGCCACTTCTGTCCCTCCAAAATTCACTTGGGCATAGACCTAGGATGGCAGACCAAATTACCCAGCATGGGAGGAAGCTGAAACAATTTGAGGTCCAGCCCCCAGGGAAATCACTATCAGAGGGAAGGGAATCAGAATGTGAGCAATAGGGAAAAACAAAGGAGGAAAGATAAATTACCAAATATCTCAGGAAAAAGAAAACTCAAAAACTTGAGCATAAGCAGGTAAATCAACAGGGAAAATATCAAAAGCAGAAGGAAACCCTACAGATCTAGTAAAGTGCGTTTAGGCATCTATGAATAAATACCACAAAACAAAGGGAAATAATCTAACACTTGATGAGACAGAGGACCCTGTGGAATTTTAGGAGAACAAAGAATCACAATGCATTGTTCCTAAGTGGGTTTAGAAGAGAAAAGAGAATTATGAGGATAGAATTTATGGTCTGCACAGCAAAAATAATTGGCAAAATAAAAACTTGAATCTGCAATGGCAATTTTCACTGCAGAAACAAAGGAGAGACCAATGGATTGAGAATGTAAATACATAGAAGTGAAGGACAATCTCAAAGAAGAAAAGTAAAATAAAATAATCTTAAAGAAAATATGTTCACCATCCATGCAAAACATACTGATCTTGATAGAAATAAATGCATTTTCTGGAGTAGGGATGAAGAATAGAAATCAAAGTCTTTTTAAAATTTTTTATTTATTTTTAGTTTTCAACATTCACTTCCACAAGATTTTGAGTTTCAAATTTTCTCCCCATCTCATCCCTCCCCCCACCCCAAGA